CTAAACCATATAGGACTGATTTGACACTGGAGTTTAAAATCCGGATCTTGTTCTTCATGTTGAGTGCGGAAGATCCCCACGCTGGTCTCAGGTTACTGAACGCGTGTCTTGCTTTTCCGATTCTGACTATGACATCCTCATCTCTGCCACCTGTAGCTGAAACAGTGCTTCCTAGATGGGTGAAGGAGGCTACTGCCTTTAAGTTTCTTCCGTTGATGGTGACTGGAGTTTGTTGTTGTTGTCGTCAGAGTTGATGGTATGGTATCTTCATCACTTCTGTCTTCTCTACGTTCACCTGAAGAAAGTCCCGTTTTTGCTGCCTCTCCTGCCAACTTGTTGGATTCTGCCTGTAGATCTTCAAGCTTGTATGCGATTAGACACAAGTCGTCGACGAAATCCAAATCGTCTAGGATCTTTTCCCCGGTCCAGCGTATTCCCCTCTCCTCCCTCCTCACTGTTTGCTGAATGATCCAGTCCACCACAATCAAGAACATCATGGGGGATGGTAGGCAACCTTGTTTCACTCCTGTATTCACTTCAAAAGCATCACTGAGCTTCCCATTGTGAGTTACTTGGCATGTGGCGTCTTCATATAGTTGTTGAATGAGGAGGATAAAGGCTTGTTGTATTTTATAGTGTTGGAGCAGTTGCCAAATTACTTCTCAGCCGACGCCGTTGAAGGCCTCCTCAAAGTCGATGAAGTTGAGGTAGAGAGTTAACTGCCATTCTATACTCTGTTCTATGATGATGCAAAGTGTTGCAATTTGGTCCGCACATGACTTGTACTTCCTGAATCCAGCCAGCCTGTTTCGGTCGTAGTTTTGAGTCCAGCGCATCCCTTAGTCTCTCCAGGATCATGCGGCTTAATATTTTGCCTGCTTTGGGTGGATAGGAGCACGACTGCGCGCCAGTTCTTGCAAAGACTAAGGTCGCCCTTCTTCGGGAATTTGACAAGGTAGCCCTTCTTCCAATCGATGGGCAGGTACCTTTTCCTCCTTTCTTTCTTCCAAACCTTCTGCAATAGTGGTGTGAGCATGTCCACTGTTGTCTCTGCGTCTGTTCTCAGTGCTTCTGGCGGGATTCCATCTGGTCCGGCTGCTTTCCCGCATTTCAGTAGCTTTATGGCGTTCAGGACTTCCACTTTCGTTGGAGGATTTTTGTTCACTTGTAGTTCAGTGGCTGTAGGTTGTATTTCTGAACGAAGTGAAGGTGGTGGTGGTGGTCGATTCAAGAGCTTCTTGAAGTGGTCATCCCATCGTTTCCTTTGTTTCTCTTCTTTCGTAAGTAGATTTCCTTTATCATCTTTTATTGGTTTCATCTGTGTTGATCTCTTCCCTACTAGATAGTAACTTGGTTATTTGACACGATGTTGTCAGGTCCCTCTTACGGGCAGCCTGTTTTGCTTTACTTGCCAGTGTGTCGTGGAAGTCCTTGCGAGCACTCTTCCTCACTTCTTTGTCCAGTGTAGTGTTTTATACATTGTACTCAGTTCCTCTTTTCGTTGTTCATCCTTGCATTGGTTCATCTTCTGCTTCACCATCCTCCCCTCCTCTACCAGCTTCCATGCATCCGTCGAGATCTATTCCTTATCTTCTTTCTTCCTAACATGGTTATGCAGGTTTCTCTCCACATCTCTTTCAAAGACTTCCAGTGTTCTTCCACACAGGTTTCTTCAGCGATTTTCCTCGATATCTCTCATTTTGTCTTGATGGCTGCCCTGAAGATTTCCCCTGTAGTCTCATCCTTCAGTTTCCGAGTGTTGTACTTGAACTGCGGTCTATCACCAGCTTCCTTGAAGGCTTTTAACTTGATTTCGAAGGTTCTTCGCACCAGATGGTGAGTGGTGTGAACCTGCATCTGCTCTTCTTCTCGACCATGTGTCAAGTAGACTGCGTCTAAACTTTCTTTACATCGAGATATACTCGATCTGATTTTTAGTGTCCATCTGGTGAATGGTGAAATGAAATCCATGACGCTTTATGGATATCCTTGTGCTTGAACGCACTGCCTCCAATCATCAAGTCGTTGAATGCACACAATTCTGCAAACAATTCTCTGTTCTCGTTCATCACCTCACCGACCACTTCTCGACCCATGGTTAGTTCTCTCCCTGTGTTGTTCGCTCCCAGTTTGGCTCTCATGTCGCCCCACCCATTAGAATTTTGATATCGCCAACTGAGGTCTTGTCGGTGTTGAATGAAGTTGTCTATAGAATTCCTCCTTTTTCTCTTGCTCTGCATTATTTGTAGGTGCATAACATTGTATGATTGTGACCTTCCTTCCTTTTGAGTTGAACCTTGCTGTCATGATCCTGGAGGAGATTGGTTCCCACTGCATGAGAGCCTTCGATGCTCTTCAGGACATCATGATAGCCACTCCCTCAGTGTGCTCGTGGTTGGCGTCTGGGTGACCGGAGTAGATTATTGATTCTCCAGTTGACAGTTTGGAGAGTCCACTCCCATTCCATCTACTCTCGCAAATTCCAAGCACTTCAGTGTGATACCTCTTCATCTCGTTAGCAATCTGGGCTGCCTTACTGGGTTCAAACATCGTGTAAACATTCCATGTCACCACGTTTACTTTCGCTTTCGTCGAGAGAAGAGAAGACACATCGGCCAATTGGCTTCCCGAAGCCTTCACCAACTGGCGTCATTTCGCCTCCCCGATTCCAGCAAGGAATAATTTTGTTTTTATTTTTTATATATCTTTTGTGACTTAAAGTTTCTTTAGCGGTTAGATTTGTTTTACGGGGTAGGGTTGCTAGCCCTATGCCCAACCTTCCCTCTTTGTTGGGGCTTAGGACCGGCTAGTAACTAGTGAACTAGTTAACCAGGTGAGGTTAATCTTCTCCTTAGGGTGGATCAAATGAGAAACTTGTAGCTGTGTTCTCTCATGTCGCATCGATTCCTAGACCTTTTGTGGGAAAAATCTGTCTCTTCGTGTGGCGGGCCCCATTTAAATTAGGCCTGTTGTTGCTTTGAAGTAGCATCTCTGTTCCATGCTTTGACCATGGGTTGCTAAGTGATAATCGGCATGTAGCATCTAAAATAATGTGACGGATATTTCTGAAGATTACCTTCTTTTTTTCCATTTGTTTCCCCTGCATTGCTGCACGTGCATACTGGATTGTGTCCGGTTGAGAGATAGGCCCTACCAGATCCCCCTGTAGGGGGAAAGCTGGTGGTTGGGTCCTGTCTCTGAATCACAAGTCCTCATAGGACTCGCACCATTCCCTGATTTTCAGTCTTCATTTCGCTCCCTGGGGGGATCATGGCAGCATGAATTTAATCCCTTCATGTGCTTGACCCAGTGATTTGTGTTCGTGTGCTAGCCACTGACCGGAGGGGCTGAGATGTTTGTCACCTATCCTCTTGTCTGGTGGATCTCGGCTTGCTGTCACACGTCTGTTTCGCATCCCCACGTAGTCTCTCCCAGTGTACCATAGATTTGGAGTCGAATCCAGTGGTGGGTAGTCTGGGGGTGAGGATGGATTCTGGGTAGGCTGGTACCGTCAATCTGTGGTTTTCGTTCGCCGGAAGACTGCCGACACCACGCTAGCCGCTAGCACTATTTAGTGTCATTAAGGTTTTACTCCCTGGCAAAATAGTAGCTTGTTAGCTCTAGAATTCCAAACACAAACACCATGATGTTCTTGTTTGCATCCCAATTAGGAATCACTTGCGAAAGATTACGGGAAAGTCCCGTTCTAACGTATCATATTATAAGTAGTGATTGAGGTGCCAGTTTTTTTATTCGTCACGTGCTCCAGAAGTGATCTCTTGAGAGAACACCAGAAATTTTCAAGTCCTCCGTCTAGTCGTTTACGTCCGAAAATATGTTTCACTGACGGCATAGTGGACTTGTGGAGTTTTCAGGCAAGGTACACTGTTTTGACACCTTCTATTGATACTTTCAGGGCATGAGTGGACATTGGCATCACATAATACACATCAGTCGACCCACCATACTTAATTTTGAAAACCAAGGCTCATGTCAAGCCGGTTCACTGGCTTAGACTGCTCGAAAGGTGATCTTAGTTCAACCAGAGGTCTTCGTCAGCTGACTTCCCACCTCCGGTTGTCATGACCACACTGTGACGTTACTATTTCTATTCCCATTCCCCTCTCATGATATTACCCGCTCCATCTCCTGGCTCAACTAAGGTCCCCATTATAAAAATTCTCTTTCTTGTCTCTCCTAAATCTACCTAGGTTCCTTATCTCCCCTTGTTCCGCTTCTTTTCAACTAGTTTTTCCTCACTTCCTCTCCCTCACTTTTGCTGCAGATCTTTTCATTCCTCCTACACTATTTTTAAACCATTTCTGACAACTGTTCAGATGCACGAAATTTGAAGGACTGGTCTGCACTGCAGTCCTAGGACAACACAGAAGGCTGAGAGGTGACTTTATAATGACTTACGAAATTCTGAGCACGCCTGGCCATCCACTCCGTCACTTATCATATCTTAGCTGCGGCGCCAATCTTAGAGGACATGCGCAGAAACTAAGCCTGGGACGTAGCAGGCTGAATGTCAGGCACAACTTCCATTCCCTAAGAGTTGTTAAACCCTTGAATGCTCTTCCTGAAGATGTGATCCAGGCTACTTCGTCCGAATCTTTTAAGCGCCGACTGGATACCCACTTGATGTGTCTGGGATCTACCCAGAACTAAGTGAATTTTCAGATTTTATTCGCCACTTTTTCACCTTTCTTTACTTGTACAACAGGTTAACAACCAAAAGGAGCAGTGATCCACGGACTGTAGACGCGGAAGCCAGGTAAGCGAAAGCTTCTTCCATTTAAAATCACACCACCGTCTGTCTGGCATACCACCGCTACAGCAAGTGAGTACATAGACCTACTATATCAGAATCCCCCAATACCTGGAAGTGTTCCAAAAGACCTAGAAGTGGGCGGGAAGTAGACAATTGAATTACACAAGCTCATAAAAGATATTGGGAGTTGGACGTAGGGATGCTGCGCACTTTTTGAAAGTAGTTAATGGCTTCAAGGTAGTTAAGCTCGTGGTTGATAACCGTGAGGCTACCGCGTTACTGCTTATTGTTATAACACTGTTTTTAACTTTTAGTGACAACCGTTATTCCGTTTATGTTGGCAACTTGCCCCCGAACACTATACAGGGACATTTTGACACCATATTTGAGGGGTGTGATGTAGGTTTCTTAATCTCTTATTATTGGTATAGATAGCTAGTGTTAGGCTAGTACGAGACAAAGAGACGGATGAATTCAAAGGATATGCTTACGTTGACTTCAAGGATGAACAGTCTCTCAAAAATGCGTTGACTGTCGATGGTTCCGTAAGTCACCGGTTTTTATTAAAATAAATTCTACATGTCCTCTAGATTGTTGAAAACCATTGCATCCGTGTAAACCTAGCGCATGAAAGGCCTGGACGTGGTAGGTTCTCACTTACCTTTTATGATTGTCTAAGTTATTGTATGACTTCGCCTCGTAAAATCCTTAACTAATTCCTTCCCACCGCACACTTTCCTGTTTCTGAATGTCTCCAATGATGAATCAGTATCGAAGAATTATTTAGGCAGGATCAAGGTTATAGAATTGATAAGATTTAACCATTACGGTCTCTCCACTTGGCTAAGCACGTTATTTCTGGAGAAACCACGCAAGTAGATGCTTGACAAGCCTTTCACAAACCTTTCACGTGAAGATCCTAGGATTACAAAATTAGCATTCTTTGTCATTTTATTTGTCGCTCTCCTATTTCGTCAGGTCGTAACTACATGTCTACTCTTGCTAAGCAGATATTTCTTCTACATACTTGGGAGGAAATGAATTTTACTTCTAACCTTAACCTCGCTTAGTGGCATTAACGTGATGCAGGTGTTTGTTCTGAAGGCAGATAGCCGATGAAACCCTTCGACTTTGGGGGAGTTAAAGCATCCCAGCCGATTGGAGCATTTCATTCAACTCATTGAAAACATCCTGTCGGTTTCCTGGTGAACAAAGTGGTTTTCAGGAAGTAGATATCACTCCCATTGTGTTAGGTTGCGTATAAGAACTAGAAAATCCTTTCGTTCATGATCAACCTATTCAGTGACAGGTGTTAATCGTAGTTTCACGATAAAGCAGATTTATTCCCTTCTTGAAGTCCTCTAAAGGCTGAATATTTGCACCAACCGTTATCTTCAGATCGTATATTTGGTCACAACTTTGTCTACTTTGATATTGCTTTTCCTATGTACTAGCTTATTGTTTACTACTGTGAAGTGTGGCAACTTGAGCCGATGCACTTGTGTTCAAGGTTCTACCTTGATTCTGTCTGTGAATTGCGAATTATTTGGCTTTACTTGGGGGACCATGCGATAAGTTTGCCAGGAGTTGTGTTTTGTATTATCGTTTTACGCTATTCGGTAGTTCTGCATAGTTTTTTACAAGTTTTTGTATTATCATGTAGTGGCAGAAATTGATCAGCTTATACCATAATATTAGGCTGTCATTCTCATTCTAATCTTTACGTTGCCATAATTTACTGGAGACATAGTTCCTCTTATGGACTCAGGTACTGTCAAGCAGTCGATCAGTAGGTGTTCTTACCATTCTTGAGGCTGTAAAAACCATCTAAATGGTTTCTTTGTTTCGTGAGTTAACATTAAAATCCTGTAAATGGGATACTGCTTGATGACGGTGCTCAGTTTCAGTTTGTAAGCAGATTCACAAAGCATGACAAATATCTAACTGGAGGTTTGAAGCGAGTTAAGTATGTAGTGATTTTTTACCTCTCCTGAGAGGTCGTAATTTCAAAAAAACCTTACATCTCAGGTCAGCACTCATCATGGACTGTCATCACCTAGAGAAATATTGGAAACCTGGGGGCCCTTGGTGGCTAATTCGTCTCAGCGCGGGACCCAGTGCGCACCCATGACTCCGCCAGGGGTTGAGCCCAGGATCCTCAGGTTCTGCAGCCAGCCCGTTACCATTGAGCCACTGGGTTGGAATCCAGTAGTCCATATTTCCTACTTCTGCCAGTTGATGGCCTCTATCAAGTGCCGTCGTTGGGTTACTGTGTTCATCTTCGACTTGGTTGCTCCCACCGGTCACGACTTTTCAGTGAAACTTCGGGAATCACCTCTCGAAGCTAGTCCCACACCAAGATGAAACAGCTGATCTGTGCTCCCAGGTTTCCAATGTTTCTCCAGCTGATGTCTTCCCAATATGAATGCCAACCTAAAATCAATAAATCAATCCCCGCAAACCTCATAATTAAACCTTATATTATTTTACGTGTGGTAAAAATCATAAAATCTTTTAAAATCTCTACCTGCTAAGAAATTCATGAACAACTAGCTCACTTCCTATTGGTAATTTCAAAGAGCAGTATTTAGTTCTACTCACGTCATATTTCGCCTACGTGGAGAGAAACCTGCATAACCATGTTAGGAAGAAAGAAGATAAGGAATAGATCTCGACGGATGCATGGAAGCTGGTAGAGGAGGGGAGGATGGTGAAGCAGAAGATGAACCAATGCAAGGATGAACAACGAAAAGAGGAACTGAGTACAATGTATAAAACACTACACTGGACAAAGAAGTGAGGAAGAGTGCTCGCAAGGACTTCCACGACACACTGGCAAGTAAAGCAAAACAGGCTGCCCGTAAGAGGGACCTGACAACATCGTGTCAAATAACCAAGTTACTATCTAGTAGGGAAGAGATCAACACAGATGAAACCAATAAAAGATGATAAAGGAAATCTACTTACGAAAGAAGAGAAACAAAGGAAACGATGGGATGACCACTTCAAGAAGCTCTTGAATCGACCACCACCACCACCTTCACTTCGTTCAGAAATACAACCTACAGCCACTGAACTACAAGTGAACAAAAATCCTCCAACGAAAGTGGAAGTCCTGAACGCCATAAAGCTACTGAAATGCGGGAAAGCAGCCGGACCAGATGGAATCCCGCCAGAAGCACTGAGAACAGACGCAGAGACAACAGTGGACATGCTCACACCACTATTGCAGAAGGTTTGGAAGAAAGAAAGGAAGAAAAGGTACCTGCCCATCGATTGGAAGAAGGGCTACCTTGTCAAATTCCCGAAGAAGGGCGACCTTAGTCTTTGCAAGAACTGGCGCGCAGTCGTGCTCCTATCCACCCAAAGCAGGCAAAATATTAAGCCGCATGATCCTGGAGAGACTAAGGGATGCGCTGGACTCAAAACTACGACCGAAACAGGCTGGCTGGATTCAGGAAGTACAAGTCATGTGCGGACCAAATTGCAACACTTTGCATCATCATAGAACAGAGTATAGAATGGCAGTTAACTCTCTACCTCAACTTCATCGACTTTGAGGAGGCCTTCAACGGCGTCGGCTGAGAAGTAATTTGGCAACTGCTCCAACACTATAAAATACAACAAGCCTTTATCCTCCTCATTCAACAACTATATGAAGACGCCACATGCCAAGTAACTCACAATGGGAAGCTCAGTGATGCTTTTGAAGTGAATACAGGAGTGAAACAAGGTTGCCTACCATCCCCCATGATGTTCTTGATTGTGGTGGACTGGATCATTCAGCAAACAGTGAGGAGGGAGGAGAGGGGAATACGCTGGACCGGGGAAAAGATCCTAGACGATTTGGATTTCGTCGACGACTTGTGTCTAATCGCATACAAGCTTGAAGATCTACAGGCAGAATCCAACAAGTTGGCAGGAGAGGCAGCAAAAACGGGACTTTCTTCAGGTGAACGTAGAGAAGACAGAAGTGATGAAGATACCCAAGCAACAACATCATCATTATCAACATAGGACCAGGCATTACTGCGTAACGGTCCGAGTTGCCACACCTCATATCAGCACATCAAGTAAAAAGGTAGTGAGGTGAAGGATGAAGATAAGTGAATGCAGTCAAAAGAAATATAAAGTACGAGAAGAAAGGAAAGAGGAGTGACAAAATAGTGAGATTCGGTATAGCGTTGTTAAGATGAGGATAATGTGTGTATACATCTGCGCCACTGACTTCGGTTCTGAGCCATATCACCTAGGGTCTCCAACCACTGGTTCCTCTTGTCCCGTGGACCCCAACCACCTAGTCTGCATCGTCCTACATGGCTTAAACCAACAGTCAGAGACTTCATACATTGGTGCCATGTTTTAGTCTGGCCACCTCGGGCCTTTTTCCAGCCTGAACCCACCTCAGCCAACATTGTGTGACGAGGCAATCGGTGACTAGGCATACGTAGTACGTGTCCCAACCATCTCAGTCGATGAAGGTTCACAACCTCGTCGACTGACTTACCTCTTCTCCCTAAAACTCTACACCTAACTTCTGCATTACTCACATGGTGACACCACGGAATACGTCCTATACTACGAAGGCAACGGTGGTCAAATACCTGTAACCTTCTCATGTCTTCCACTTTCAATGGCCATGTTTCACAGCCATACAGTAGAACAGAGCGGACTGCTGTGCAGTACACGCGACCCTTAATAGACAAACGAATATCACGGCGGCGCCATAGGTGGCGCAAATTGGCAAAAGCCAATCGAGCCTTTTGTATCCGTGCAGAAATCTCATCGGCAACTAACCCACCGGGTTGATCCTACTTCCCAGGTAAGTGAAGTGGTCAACACACTCAACCACTTCACTCTCTATTGTTAACCGCGGTACCGCTGAAGACCAGTCCTGGAGCAAAAATTTGCATTTGGGTGGTGAAAATCGCATCCCAAACATTCTCAAATTCCCACTCAAAGTGTTCAGAAGACTCTGCATCTTGTCAGCGTCTTCACCTAACAGGACTATGTCATCTGCATATTCTAGATCTAAGGAAAATTCACCTGTGATCCGGTCAACGTCTTTGTAATTAGGTGACGAGAGGGAAACCTCCATAAGAATATCTATGATAAAATTAAATAAGAATGGGGATAGTGGGCATCCTTGACGGACACCACTTGATGAGTATAGCTCCCTGGACAACTCACCATAGGCTCTAACATGCCCACAAGTGTTCGAGTAGAGAGCTTTCAATAAGGTGATGTACTTACTAGGCACGCCTTTCAGTGACAGACACTGCCATAAGACTTCTCGATCAACGGAGTCAAATGCCGCCTTCAGGTCGAGAAATACAGCTATTGTCGGGCGTCTGTAAGCATGCCTATGTTCCAGGACCTGGCGCAGTGTGAATATTTGGTCGATACATCCACGGCCAGGTCTAAAGCCTGCCTGGTTTTCTCGGGCTTGCTGTTCCCGAGCTCCACTCAGGCGTCGGAGAATTATAGAACTTAGGATCTTAGACACTATGTTTGTCAGGCTGATTCCTCTGTGGTTATCACAAGAGGACTTCTCGCCTTTCTTGAAGACTGGGATGATGAGTGACTTAGACCAGTCGGAGGGGATCGTATTTGATTCCCATATACTGGCTAACACTTCCGTTAGCCTGACTAAGAGAACTCTACCACCATTCTTGTATACCTCAGCAGGTAGTCCGTCTGGTCCTGCTGCCCTTCCCCGTTTCAGGCTACCTACCGCTTTCTCAACTTCTTCTAGTGTTGGGGGACCTGTCTCTATGTCCCATTCAGGGTCCGACTGGATAGCGGGCAGCGCAATGGTGGCTGGAGGCCAGTTAAACTGTTCCTCAAAGTGTTCTGCCCATCGTCCCAGTCGCCTTCCCTGCGAGTGAATCGCCGATCCGTCCTTCTCCGCTATAACCTCACTAACTGTTGTTGACCATTTCCCCCCAGTCTCCTTAATAAGTCTAAATAACTGTCTACTGTTACCGATCGCCGCTGCCTTTTCCATCTCTTTAGCCTTTGCTGCCCACCACTGTTCACGATCGTTGCGCAGACTTTTCGTCAGTTATTTTTAAGTTGCGCTCGCTCTTCATTGTACTCAGAGCCTGCAGGGATGCATTCACGTGCATCCATTAGTTTGGAAGAAGCTGCTGATATCCACTGGCTCTTTTTAGCCATTATCTTGGAGTCGGCTACAGTCTCCAGTGCTGCTTTTACAGTAGACTGAAGATGGCACCAAGCTTCTTCTGGATGAGTGACAGTCTTTTGTTCCGATAACTGCCTAGCCAACTTCTCACTGAACACGGCTTTGGTGTTTTCGTTGTCCAGCAGAACTCGTAGTGGTTTTGTTGCCAAATTTTTTCTACGTCCATTGAGACGCAGGCATATACGTGCTCGGACCAACGCATGATCGCTGTCCAAACACGTACTCCAGAAGGAGCGGCAGTCTTCCACCGATCCTCTCCAGCGATGACTAATAGCAATGTGGTCTATCTGTGTCCATCGCTGAGTCGAGCTCGGTGGACGCCAGGTCAGACAGTGCCTTTCTTTATGTCTGAAATTTGTGCTGGCTAAAAATAGGCGGTTATCTGAGCATAGTTGTAATAGGCGATCACCGTTATCTGTACGTTCAGCTGGGATTCCGAAAGTGCCACCTAAGTGCCTTTCTGCCTCACTCAGTCTACCCACCTGTGCGTTGAGGTCACCTGCAACAACCACTACGTCCGAACGTTTGGCTTTCGAGAGGAGGTTAGAACTCGTCCTTCACTTCATCCGAACTACAGTCAGTGGGTGCGTAAGCAGAGATTACAAAGAGACAACGGCGAGTCTCACTATTCCTTTTAGTTCTCACTGTGCCGTTCAGCCTCATAGCGCAGAGGCGACTATCAACTGGGATCCAGTCTAGTAGTGAGTTTTCTGCCCTGGTGCTTAATGCTATACCTACACCTGCAAGACCACGAGAGCTAGCTATCGAATCTCCAGAAACTCGAAGGGTGAATTTTGCAGATTCACCAGATTGGTCAGGAGAGGTCAGGTGAATAACCACACTTGGGTCCTGTATGCGTGTCTCACAAACACAGCACACATCCATGCCCGAGTTGCTAGAGTCTTTGCCAACGAAGCCTGTTGGCCAATTTGACGGAGGGTGCGGACATTGAAGGCTCCAATATGTAATTTGGAGCGTGGTTTAAGGAGACCAGGGATGCTGTTCTGTGGACTCAGATCGTTGTCGAAGGCTGCAGAGGTAGGAGAAATTGAAGATGATGCAGCATCATTAATTAAGAGACGTGAAGGAAGATTAGAAGGTAATGATGGAGGAGGAGGATAGCAGTCAGAAGAAACTTGGGTGCTGACAGAGTTGTGAGGGCGGTTGACACTTCCCGGCTGCCCACACCGTGGAAGGCTATTTCTTCTTAAGGTACCTGAAAGAGATTTGTGTGACCGCAGAGCCCATCGGACATCTGCTTGAGGCCTGTCACACCCAGCCTTTTGAGTATGATTATTTTGAATTTTTGTATTTTTGGGGCCGGATGGTCGAAAGGAAACGACAAGTGAACCAACACCGCCGGCCCGGCAGACCGTGGGGCGTGGTGGAGTGTGTTATTTTTGGGGCCGACCTTTTCTAACCCCCCCTTCCACTGAGAAGGCAGCATCAGCTTGGCACTGCTGGTCATCCAAGGGAAACACCTTACTGCTGTCACACCCCATCCAGCTAGCAGCAGTACGACTTCGCCCTCAGACCCCCATCATAGTATAGCAATTTACACTATAACGGTAACTGCTTTTCGTCTAACCACTACCCAACAGACCTTTCTGGTATGGTAGGACCTCGAGGGAACAAGCGTTCCACCAGCATAGCTCGTTGGGTCATTGTGATATGCAAGCCCGACCACCACGTCAAGGTAGTAGCTATCGGTCAGGCAACCAACAACAACAAGCTCTGATCACCATCAACGGGAGAAACTTAAAGTAAGTAGCCTCTTTCACCTATCTAGGCAGCGCTGTTTCAACTACAGGTGGTACAGGCACAGACTAGGACGTCAAAGTTAGCCAGGATCGGAAAAGCAAGATAGGCGTCCATTAACCTGAGACCAGTGTGGAGATCTTCCGCACTCAACATGAAGAACAAGATCCGGATTTTAAACTCCAGTGTCAAATCAGTCCTATATGGTTTAGATACTTGGCACATGACGAAAGGGATTTCCAACAAACTGCAGACACTCATCGACAACTGCCTACGCTCACTGGACACTGAAGATTGGATGGCCAGAATAATAAGAATGAGCAACAAGGAACTATGGCTGGTTGGCAACGAACCAACGAAGCGAGAACTTATCGCTCAACAAATATGCACTGGAAGGAAGTGGAGATGGACTGGGCATGCACTGAGAAGACCAACTGGGGACCCCACGCGCCAGGCCAAGCTGTCGAGTTGGACCCAGATGGGAAACGGCGAGTTGGGCGTTCCAGCTGAGGGTGACATGAAGGAGATCGTGTGAGGAGGAAATGAGAGCTTGTGGGCTGTCGTGGAGCCAGATAGGAAAGATTGCAGAGTAGAGAGTGGAATGGAGACGTGCTACTGTAGACCTATGTTCCATTAGGAACCCAAGGGACAAATAGTAATAATGATAATAATGCCAATGAGCCGATAGCGTTGGTCCTCTGTTGCAATTTTGCCCCGACAATCACTCATTTCTAACCAGCACTAACTTAAGGCATAAAGAAAGACACTATCTCATGTGGCGTCTGTCGACTTTAAACCAACGATGGGCATAGATAGATCACATTGATATAAGTCGTCATTAGAGAGAGGATCCGTTAAGGATTGCTGTTCTTCCTTCTTTTACGATCATGAAAATTACGTTACTGGTTTTTACTCAAAGGTAATGGTCTTTTGACTGCTTATAATGAGTTGCAGTCAAATGTAGCTATGACATATACTTGTTAAGCTCATACATCTTTTCAGCCTTAAAATTGTATTTCTTTGAGCAAAACTTTCTCCAAGCTGAATTCTAGAGATTTTTACACCCACAAGTCTCTTGACCCAATCGACCCACTCTGGTCATAGTGGTGGTTAAGCCGCCAAAAGAGAATCGTTAAGTGGGATCAACTTACCACCCGTCAGATACGAAGTTTACCATCAAGTTGATCTGCGTCGACACTTATTTCAACACAACGGTGTACGAATTCACTGAAGGTGTCACAATTATTCGCAACCGCCATGTCAATCTAGCAGATGTTCATGAACCATCGTACTTCTCAAAATCCTACTTCTGAAAGTCAACTGTTGTGTACCGTAAAAGAGCAACGCACCTGTGTCGCTACTCTACGTTAATCACTTTAACTAGGTAGTCACTACCTGCTAGCTTCAAAATGTGTATAAGGTGATGGAAAGAACCACACAAACTTCTTTTGGATACGAAGCTTTGGTTTATGAAAATGTGTGACAATGGCTTCCGTCGTGCATAACAGGTGGATACGTAAACCATACGAAAGACCAGGTGGTAAATGATAGATAGCGGTAAATTCGTTTCTTTAAGTATGCTTAATGGCCGTTCACTTAATGTGCAAGAATGAAATTTCACAGTGTTTAATTTTCTCGAATCAACCATAAATGGTGCTCGAGAATTCGACCATGAACTTGTTTGATGGTTCTCTCTCACACACACACACTCACTCATAATGTATCAGCTTGAACTGTTGATGACTGTTTCGCTTCTAATAGGCACTTTTTATTTTGGTTGTCAAGTTTGTAACTTGTTCAGATATTGCTTATTTGTGTGTGACTTTCATACATGGTTAACTCTAACTTTCCTTTTTTCCTCTGTTATTCATCATCATTATAGGCGGGGGTGGAGGCCGTGGTCACGGTCATGGAGGTCAGTGGGGCATGAACAATGGATTTGGGCGTGGTGGCTTCGGTAATCAACAACGTGGCAGACCTAGTATGGATGGCGGAAGAATGGGTATGAGAGTTGTGTCTGAACGTTGTCCCATATTTTTCTGCTTAAGTCCCTATGCTTTTGTGTTCGTTTTTGGTTGGTATGCAAGTTGTGAAGTAATGGTAAACGCTAGTGATTCCTCACATGGATTTTTGACGGTATTTTCTGACAGTGATCAGAAAGCACCTCCATAGTATCTCATTAGTTATTCTGTTACCGAAGTACTGTTCAAATTTTCTCACAAATACTCGCAGAATTCGATCCTACTAAAATATAATTGTGCTATTGTTCTTGGACGAAGGCGAAAGACTAAAGCATCTTGAAGTTTCATGTAACACAAAACTTACTACGGTCAGTAATGTAGTTACTGTTTTGACGTTGTGATTTAATCCTATTATACCTGATGAAGTATGTGGAAGTTACCATCTGGATGGGTTAATGCATCTTTATTGATCATCTGTGTACGTATTAAAGTGATATCCATTTTAGGTTATTCATAAGATCTATTCTACTTTCCAATGATTTTGAAGACCAGCATTAGTATCACCCACGTCCAGTTATTTCAGGTAGCAATGACTGATTAGAAGTGATATCTGCCAAGTGTAGAGAAGATAAGCATAAGCGATTTTTTGTCTCAAACCAAGAAGTTTATAAAAGTAACTTCGTAGGAAAGGTTCTTATATCCAAAACAATCTGCGCGACTGAATGGTATGTGACTTGTTTTAAAATTTTCTCCTTTTATTAATTTTGTGCTTGCGGTGTTGGTAAGTGTAACCGTTCCAACCGTTACACAATGTTCAAACTGGCTCATGTGCTCATTCACGATTATCTAGTTATATTTTATAATTCCTACCTCTATTTTTCTGATAGCAGAAAATTTTGGTCGACCAGGTCGAGGTGGAATGGGTGGTCGTGGTGGACAACGACAAAGTTATCATCCCCCTGGAATCCCACGTGAACAGCTGCAAGAACCTAGCAGAACATTTCCTGAGTCGAAACCCGATGAATTAAGCGGTGATGGTCAAGGTGCCGATCGACCACGACTAAATCTGAAACCTAGAACTACTCCTGTAAACCCGGATGACGGTCGCCAACTAACAGAGCGTGCCCGGTCAATCTTCGGAACTGGGCGTCCCAGGGAGGCCAGCCCAATACGTGAAGATCCTGCTGACAAAGGGTAATTTTACTCTGAATATGATCTAAGTAAATATTCTTACCCAAAATAGGTGTTATGTGTCGGTATTACCATTATTTTAGTGTAAGCGAAAATTGCAATACGTCTTATCATGGAAAGTTGTCAGGATTACTACTATGGAACAGGAAACAAGCCTTCACTTCATATGGCGAAGATTTAAAATTTCACAGTAAGCAGGGGACTAGCCAAGAAAGTATGTTTTAAATCACAACGATCAGCTTTTCACATTTCATAAAGCTTCCTAATATCGAAGTAAAAATCTTTGTTTGACAGTTGTTCCATGCTTTTCAAATGTTGTAAGATACTGTTTCAAGACTGGTATGCACTGACTTATAGTTTATGAATGCAGGATTAATTTGTCGAATGCGTTATTGTTTAGGATTAAAATTGACCTCCGAATATCGCTAGGTCCAGTAATTAGATGCAATTGTAATAAACGAATGATCTATCAAACCATTTCAAGCCCTACTTTAAATCAACCTTTCTATTCCAGTTTTCCAAGTCGCTCGTGCACTATAAACTTTCCACTTTATGCTTAATTGTCTCTTCTCTATTCGCAGGGTAACTTCAGAAGAAAAGTGGTCTGGCTCCAGCTAACAGTTGATGAAACAACCTGGTTCCTGTTTTCATCAGGAATCCGTCCATTTAATATAAAAAATTGTTCTACTATCTGATTAACCCCTTTAATTTTCTTCATCAAACATTTAAATGAGTCACTTCTCTCATATGTTTCATTCTACCATAGTTCTCTTCCGTTAAACTTTTCCTTAAGTAAAATTGTGTAAGTGTACAGGTTGTTTGGTTCTCGTTTCATCTTCGTCGTTGATTGCAATTTTTAGGGGTTTTCCCTCCATAATTTTCATCCTTGTTTTCGGTCATCACTTTCCGTCCATTCGTGTGCAAGTGTGTACATGCTGTCGTCTGTCCCTATCTATAGGCAACAAATACTACTCACCTACTTGACCTTCAGTGCACCATTTATCCCAAAATGCTGTTCGTAAGCAGTTGTAAAACAGTCATATTCTGCTTTTGGAAAATAAATTGTACCGTTATAAACTTTCCTTTTTTTAAAAAAGATAAAGGTATTACCTTATTATTATTTTTTACTGGTCGGTTTCATTTCGAATCCCCTTCAAAATACTCGCTAATTCATAGGTTGTTTGGTGTGGATGGGCAAACGTTTTCTTTGTGACTACTGTGACAAGTCATTCCCAGATAATCCAGTTAACCGAAGAAACCATCTCAAAGGTGTTCAGCATCAGCAAGCTCGAAAATCGCACTATGATCAATTTCTTGGTATTTTGAATATGCATAACTTGGTTACAAGATATGTGATTTTGTATTACAGATCCCAGAGAAAAGCTTAGTATAGAAAAAACGAAAAAGCCATGTCTTTCATTTCGTAATTCAGGTGCGTCTATTGTTTAGTAATATCAAAAATGTGAATTATTTCTGTTCAGGTTCCTGTAGTTATGGAGTATTGTGCAGATATTCTCACTTAACTGTCGAAGAGATGCAAATTTTAGAGGAGAAAGCTAGTAAGCTGATGATATTTTCTGACTTATAAGTTTAGATGCCCAGTTCACCGCTTCATCTTACGTGAACCATTTGACTTCAGAAGTGAACATTGATAGTCAAATACAGTTACTGGAGTCAAAAATGTTAGCTAGGCGTGATAAGCTCTTGACTTCCAAACAAACGCAAAGATTTCGCATACCCGAAGGTTTGCAATTGATTGGTTTGCCTCCATCATTGTCGTTTAGATCACATTGTTCCAACAATTGACTGGTCTTTTGGGGATCCTATAGTCTTGATATGTATATATTACTTTATGTTGTATTTTTGCTGTCCTTTTCAATGTTGTCAGAATCTCTGTAGAAGAATAAAACTCGAATTATTCTATGTATGTCTTAGTTATTCAGTAGTTTATATTTTGCCGCTTTTATTATTTGGCGTTGTTACAGACATACCGATAGACGTTGTCGTACTTACTAGTGTAATGATTTGTGGGCGGACTGGTTTCGTGTGGCACCTATTTCTAGGTTAACAGCATACTGGACTGAAGTAGTGGTTGGATTGGTTATTTTCATCCACTATAGACGCACTATGCTTGGTCAGTAGTAGCTACAGACCAAAGCATAAACTGTCTGATAACATGTATTTTCCAATAATATCCAGGCTATAGAATTAAGGCCAATCACCTGTATGCAAAAATATGACCAAGGTAAAATAGTTATCATCAGACCTTAAAATGATAATTAGTGAGATATGGGTAGTGTAAAAGTTTACTGCCAGCCAATGGATTCCTATGAGTGGAAGTAAGACTACATTTTTATCCGCTCTGACGCCGCGAAATAATGCGGGATCATTGCGCAGTAGCACCAGGACGTTCTCTAGTACCTTCTACACATTTTCACATTCTAGTACTAAGGTGCGAACTAAGGACACTGTTAATATCGTGACTTGACTCAACCAGTGGGTCACGGGCTCAAATCACTCTCAGCTTATTGGATTTTGGGCACTCAGACAGCTGCCATCGCACGGTGGGCGTATCCCATTCCCAGTATCTAGAAGTGCGAGCAGTTGCTAGTTTTTCCTTAATTTTCTCCCATTTGATTTCACTATTACGTTGTGTACTTTCTTTGACTGAGCATTTGTTGCATAGTAGCACTGACTTGTCATCAAAAGTGGGCAGGTATGATCAAGTATAATTGCGTAACGATCCAAGTTGCCCCACCTCACATCAGCACATGAACCGAAAAGGCACTACGATGGAAGAAGTAGAAAAGAAAGCTGACCGGTGGATTATCGTGATTGGATAACAAGGAGGAATGAGAAAAGGCTAAATTCATTATGAATATTGAGATGGTGATGTGTGGATGCATCCACGTCACCGACAGTGGTGCTGAGGCATATCATTTAGAGTCTCTAACCACTGGTTCCTGTTGTCACGTGGACTCCGACCGTGAAATCTTCATTCCCTTGCATGACCCAGACCGATAGTCGGAAAAACTGTAAACACTGGTGCCATGTTTCAATCTGGCCATCCGTTTTCCAGCCACAACGTATTTTAATTGAAATTGTGCGACGAGGCAGACGGTGACTGAGCACACGCAACACATCTCAACTATCTGATTTAATGAAGGTTCGCAGCCTTGTCGATTAGCATCTCTTTCCTCCCCTTAACTGTATAATATCTCTTAATTGACGGAGTCGAATGCCACCTTAAAGCCGAGAAGTACGGCCAGTATCGGCTATCAGGAGTGTGTCTGCATTATAGATGCCTTGTGAAGAGTGAAAATCCGTTCGAAACACTCACGTTCAGGTTTGAAACCTTTCTGGTTTTCTCGGGTTTGCTGTTCTTAAGTTCCTGATGATTACAGAATCTTAGACAGCATATCAAGCTTCCCCCTGTGGTCATCACAATTCCTCTGATTTCTTGAAGATTTGGGCAATCAGTGATGGACGCAGGTCAGAAGGGATCACATCTAACTCCCATATGCTATCTAACACATTAGTTAACTCAAAACATAGTCCTCAACCACCATCTTTAAGTACTTCTGGTACTAGCCTATTTGACCCTGTCGTTCCTTTTATGAAGAGGCTGTTAATAACCGCCGGCCCCCTCTTACCACTTTCTGAGAGCCAGCTACTGTGTTCACTTCTGTTTTCACGGCACTCTCTGGGAATGGCTTCCGTCTTCTGCATAAGCGATGTTCTGTTCGGATAACCTATTAAGCAGTTTCTCACTGAAAGCATCTCCGGTGCTCAGTGTCGAGCTGCACTCTCAAGGATCTTGTTGCTATGGTTTTTCTACGCCCATCTAGACGCATGGATACGTGCTGGAAGCAACTCGTGGCTGTTGTCCAGAATTGTATCCCAGAAGGAGCGGCAACCTTCCAACGATAACTGGCAACAGTATGGTTTATGTGCCCACTTCTGAGGTAAGGTCGGTGGACGCCCACTTCAGACAGTGTTTTTCTTTATATCTGAAGTTCGTGCTGGTCAGAAACAAATGGTTATTTGAGCACAGTTGTAGTAGGCGATCACTGTTATCTGCTTATTCGGCTGAGATAACACTAGGTTTCTTGTGTGCCTCTTCCGCAATCTTCAAAATGTCTGAAAATAGACTGAATGCTGGTTAAGAGAAAAACAATTATAATCTGGTTCAGATCAATGTCCCATTTTACAGTTCTTCAACTTCATCCTCATATGAATCAATATTAAGATTTTAGTTATTTGACAATATGACAGAAATCTAACAAGTGATCAGCTTAAACAGTGGATAGGGTGTTGAGTACTAATTTAGTCTAGTTTAAGTAATTCTAGTGAGCCGAAGTTTTTTTAACTGTCCGACAGTTCACTAGTTGTACTCATCATGGTCTGAAACCATTTGGAAAATCACTGAAAACCCGTTAGCCTTAGACAGTTATTTCATCCTATTTTGGGGACTTCTCATCAGTGTGTACGCATAAACCTGTGGAGGATCATACTGAGGACGATCATGTCTTTCGGAGAGTACTTTACCACTTAGCCCAACCCAGTGTCCGGTCCCCATCCCTCGCAAGGTCGTAAGTGCGCACTGCTGAGAGGTAGTGAAAACGGGACGAAACTGCGATTCATTGCTTCCAGGCTTTCTAGTGGCTCTCTGTTAGCCCAAGATGAATACTGCCTTGAAGTCACTGTTTCGATGGATGCCACATTTAACCTGCAGATCCTTGGATTATTGAAAATTGGAAAATTTTTATAACCATTTTACTAAAAGATCCGAATAGTTGGAATTGAATTTACTGGCTAGTTATACTCATCCTTAACTCCATATCAGAATTCAAATGGCAGAATCCAACTCAACCATGACAAACACTATAATATATGTGTTGTTAATAGGCAAAACAAAACTAAACAATAGATATAATCCTTCAACCTTGAAGGCTAATGATAAAGCTGCACATTAAGTACGGAATATCCAGGCTTGTTTAAACATCCACTTTGTGGTTGACTATGAGGACCATTCTGGCAACCAGAACAAACACGTAATTTGCTTGGTGGTGTCCAACAATGGATCCCAAGACGCGTCTTTCACCCTTGGAAGTCGTCGGCTGGATGTACCTGCACTCTCATGAGTGACAGTGTTCCCATTGAAGTGTCTCATAGATTCAGTGGTCTAGGGGAAAACGCTTAGGCGTTTGAAGCGAGGTGTATGGGGCTTGAGTCTCAGTGGGATGAAATGGGATAAGAAGTGCATAAGTAGGACAAGTAGAGCGCAGAATAGAAGGAAACATGTTGAAATGAGACAGGATGTTGGGTGCAGATACATCCAACTGGCGAGTTTCAGGTGGGATAAACGCCCATCTTGGTTTCCATTGCCAGTCATCAAATGACGTAATCATCAATCCTGAGGGATCTGCAATCGAGCCCATCTGCCAACAGAAGTTGATTAATTCGATCCGAAATAACAAGCAGAAATTGCAAGTACCAATAAAAAATGAATACGTTCAGATGTTCTGCTTGATGAGTTGGCTTTGTATCTATCAAGGATGATGTCACTGAATATGTTTAAGATGAAATCTTCAATCACCTATCAATATTGTTCGAAAAGTTGCTTCTTCTTCTTCAAAACCCAGAATAGATATGTACAGCTATTACAGTCACTCTTATACTTATTGGTGAATGAAAGTGATGAAGATAAAGTACAGCTCTTTGTGCTGAACAAACCTCCACATTTTGTTTGTGTGAGCTCGGTAATTGTCCGCTACTTAACTCTCCCTACCATCAAAGCTTATACTGGTCTTAGACGAAAATCTGTTTTATGCCGCACAAACTATCACATGGATTCTATTTGAGATTTCATGAATTAATACAGAGTGATGATTGAAGGTGAAATGAGAATCTGGGCCATGACAAGTTTTGAACCAGCGAATTATTGTAAGTCAGTCACCTTTTGCATAGCATTTTCATGTTAGAACATTATGAGTTGCAATGGAAGAACTAAGCAACACTCAGTAAAGTATTGGCACGTCCAGTAGAGGAACCTCAAGTCAGCCAAAGTGGATCTAGTGGATTCTTTATTAATTTGACATGATAAAGTGTAATATGATGAATGAATGTTAAGACCATCATAACAACTAATAAAATAGCCAATTGAGACCATGTTTACTACGTGAGTGCCAACTTTCTAGCCGAAATAAAGAAACCTAAGTGGTTTTTTTTGTCTGTAGTTATAGTCACTGTAGTCAGTCACTCTGATATAATATTACTTTTCTTCGAGTGATTTCAGAGGTCATGCAAATAACCACTAAGATAACCTATTACGCTTCCTTATTTTATGAAAAACCATCCCGTCTGACGAAATGTCGATGACTGATAGGTTATTTCTAGCAGTTGCTAGGATGGTCTTTAAGTTCTACCTTTACTTCAAATGTAAATCCCTATTATCCGTTCTGACAACTATAACGGATTAGGCTGTATGCTTTAAAGGTGCCGCAGCAACCACCGGAAACAAGACTGACTGTACGATCACCCTAGCAACTGCTGAAATGACCGATCAGGGATTGATATTTGGCCTGAAAAGTACTTCCCTATAAAATACAGGAATCTCATTGGCTATCTCATCAGTTGCTGGGGTGGCCATCAGAGTCACTAAAATACACATTTCAAAATTACTAGTTCAATAGTTGTTAGGGTGTCATTTACTGTCACTATGACGCTATTGGAAGTTTAACATTATCTACTCATTTTGTAGAGAATGGATTAGCGCGTCATGGTTTAGATTGTCTTGAAACCAC